AAACAGATGTGCAAAAAAAGCACGTCGATTTTATGCATTTGCCTTCGCTGTCTTAGTACGTGACGCGCGGATCTTCAAATTAACATTTGCGAATAAGTCGACGAACAGGTTGTTATTTACAACTTACAATGTGCATTTCACATTATTTTGAAATTCGTGAGCAACACAGAAATTATCGACTACAAAAATAAAGCAACAGGTAAACTAGTTACGACTAACCACGGTCAAGGAAGCAAACTGTGAGGAGACGATTTCCAACACAAAAATTCTCACGAAGCTAAAAAATAAAAACCTCCGCCAGTCATCGTCTTGAAAAACAATATATTCTTCGGCAACCCGACTCAATATATATTCAACAGAACAAAACCAAGATTACCTTTTGCTTGTCTAATATTTTCATTGCAAAATATCGTGAGCTACTCTTGTGTTGTACAAGCATAACACGACCAAATGATCCAGTTCCCAAGGTCTTCAGACGCTCGAAGTCCTCCAAACCAGCCGTATTCTGTATGCATCAAACAGACATGACATGAGCGACATCGCGAAAATCAATAAAGAAATTATACTTCCAAAGGTAAAGTAAGTTTCGGGTCGCCGATACGAAAACCTTGTAATCGTGTGCTTCCAACAAGCAGACTTAGAATCAAGCACCGTTGTTCGCAATACAATCTTTAAAGAACAGAGCACCGTTTAAAGTAATTTACAAGTCTCACCCAACAAAAGAGTGTACATGAAAAAGGTGAATATATTTTTAGTTGAAACCGAACGAAGATACGACTCTATAATTAACAAACGTACAAGAAAAATTCTCACCTGTGATGGATGCTCCCATTTTGAATTAAACTCTTCTTTTGCCTCGTTCAGGAACGCTCTTACTACGGGAAAGATAACAAAACAAAACATGAAGGTTTTTCGCTTGCATGAGTATAACAACAGATGCCCCCGCGAAATTTATTATACCATTTTCTGGGTCTCCTCTCTTCGTTGGAGCGTTGCCCATGTCTTAACGGGCAACCACTTATAGAAGATACTCTGAAGCTCTCGTTGCAGTAAAAAATATTGATACCCAGCACACAAATCTGCCTAAAATACTTGGATTCTAGTTCAGTATTTTCCACCGTAGCTGGTATCAAAGAGACAACCTCCCGGCCAAAGACAGACCTAGTGACGTTTTCCGTTTTCACAGCGACGCATTTTCATTGGTCGGTTAAAAACCAGACAATCGGAAACTACTAAATATGGAAATGTTCGGCAATCTCCAGCTGAACGAAACAGAAGCGGAGGAGAATTGCCAGACTCATTCTAGGAAGGTTCGAGTCTTATTTGAAGATTGAAGGTGAAAATAGTTAGTTTATATAACCGCTACTGAACTTCCTGCAGTTATTCGAAGTTAAAAAACTAAGCTTATGGTACATGAATCTAGCAAAATGCTATATGGCCTGACAAATTGACCAAAAAACATCAATAACATCAACATGTAAGCTTACTCAGATTAAGCTTAAGTTTATTGTGGCTTTTTTTCTAAATGCAAATAACAAGAAAAAAAGACATTTTAATATCGATGAACCTTGTATCTGGAAAATGTGCCCAGATTATTTCCATGAAAATATACCACTTTTTCTACAAAAATAAGTTCACACCCAAGCGAGGTGAACATTAATTTAATTTAGGAAATAGCCCAAAGAAAATATACATGATTGGTTTAAAATCGTATTTTCATAAGTCAATAGCGTCACAGCACTAGGGTGAGTTGTTGATGTAATAATGGCGCAAACAAAGAGAATTTACATATTGACAAGCAAAGTAAACAAGTTTTCTTTTTTTCATCGCAGAACTTTCTGAAAGTAGTAGAAAACAATAGTCATGTTCTCCGTGTTTCTATCGAGTTTTAGTATAAGTCTACTAGTGTTCTACCATGAATGCCGTTCTCTGATTGGCTACACGACTCACTATCTATTCTACAGTGAGTAGTGTAGCAGTCTACCCTTGTTAACAAAATGACGGCCACTTCTTGACATTTTCAAAGTCGATTTACACAAAATAACTAGATTACAGTGCTGTATTCACTCTCGATTTCCATGCGTAATAGAAATCTTGAGCTCATAAAATTATCCAATAATTGTTTAATAGAAACACTCGTGGAAGTTTAGGAGAACTTGAAAAAGCTGTGGAAACACTCGCCTGTTGACTCATGTTCCCACAGCATTTCTCGTTCACTGAAACTTCCACTTGCGATTCTATTAAACAATTAGATTATGAGCTACAGATTTCTGTTGCATGATAGTTGACGAGGGCACAGCCCAAGTCAACTATCACGAATAGAAATTGAGACTAAATAATCTAGTTGTTTAGTGTAAACCTACTAGTCGTTCATAACTTTATCTACATCCTCTTCACAGACACTTAAAAATGGAAAGAAGCGACCGCCAGTTTGTCATAAAGTACACACTGCTATATATAGGCTACTCAGTATCTACAAGAGAATAGACAGTGAGTAGCGTAGCCAATTAGCAAATGGCATTTGTTATGGAACGCTAGTAGATTTACACTAAAACTTGATAGAAACAAGGCACATGTAAACGCTTTCTAATTTGTAATTAATTGGTCATATGATGCCATCTTGTACAGTCAACAACCACCTTGTGGACACTCCTTATTACATTTTTTTAGAAGCATCCAGAACCTCAGTTTTTAATAATTTAAATGTGCTAGGAAAATCTACTGTGGATTTAGCAAAAACAGTCCATGCTATTGTGGCCTTGCCCCGTCAAAGAGGTCCAGCAGATATCTAGAATTGTACATACGAAGGTCCCAATAAATCTGGGGTTTATTTACA